AATAAATAATGTGTATCATGCGTATCATACGTGAAACTGAACAGAACGCGGCCATAGAAGTCGCGCGCCCCTTTCAAGGAGGGGAGGGGCGCACGACCTTTATGGTTGCGTTCCGTTCCGTTTCACGCATGATGTGTCATTTATCCTTGTTTAGAGGCCTATTCTACAACTCGTAATGACAGTCGTTGATGTCATTGCGCAGCTTTTGTACTCTACATAATATCTGTACAACGACATCATAATATGGATAGATCTTTTATAAATTAAATATGTGCAATAATTAAATTTTATGTAATTTATCCTTTATAAACTTATTCCAGACCAGTCTGTCATGGTAGCTGCCTTGGCCTTGGATTGGCTGCAATGGGTTCGCATAGACAAAACGTTTATGAATTAAGATCCAATTTGTATCAAAATGCTGCTGAAGCAGCTGGAATCGCTACAGAAATGGTTATACTGAGGTCCAAATCAATGCATGTGATGAAAGATAAATTTAATGCACATTTTTCATAGCATTCTTTTATTCGTCACGTAATTTTTTTGTATTTAAACATGTAAAATTTTTGAGATATTTCTAAAAACTTATGGTGCTGTGTATAGGAACTAGTAATTTTATCAAACTAATTTAGCTAATAGATTGGATTAAACTTTGTTGTTATTAATGATGATTCTTATGTTTTCACATTGGACATCGTTTGATGCTGCTAGTTTCCCTTTGACTTGACGACAGGGTTGCCAGTTTGTTAGGTAAAAGAGAAACGAGCATTAAATAATGTTCATAGATTACGAATGTAAAAATGTAATGATCATCATTAATAACAACAAAGTTCAATGCAATCTATCAATAGCTAAATTAGTTCAATAAAATAATTAGTTATTCCAACACAGACCCTTATGCAAGTTAAGACGTACAATTGGTGCAAAGAAAAAAAATTTATCTCTTTAAAAAAAAGTAAAAAAAAGCGCTAAGATGTACGTGCTCATCGAAAAAAATTATTGTACTAAATTATAAAACCCAAATGATACTATTATATCAAATTAAAAGGTAGAATCCATATAGTACTATTTTTGTTACTCTAATAATATGTATCATTTGAATAAGAAGATTTGGTATCAAAAACTGGCGCCTAGTTAAATCCTATACCAAATTAAATAAAGAATGTAATGCAGGTGATACTATATTTAATTTTTATACAATAAAATCTAAGTATATCTTTGCATTCCTCTATTGAAGAATTTTCTTATTCTAATTCAAACACTATGGTAACATTTAAATTGAGCAATGTAATGCAATTTTGAGATAATATATCAAGAAGAATTAAATTACTACTACTTTAACTTTGGATGGAAGAGAAAATTTCTTTGATTGTAATACAATAATTTCTTTTAAAAAGTTGATACAATAATTTCTTTTAAAAAGAATTAAAGCCATTTGAAATTGGAAAACCTTCAAGGAATACAAAGATATGTACTTAGGTTTTATTGTATAAAAATTAAAGATAATATCACTTGGATATACACATTTTTTATTTAGTTTTGTATGGAATTTAATTTGGTTGCACCAATTGTTGATATGAAATTTTTTATGCAAATGTACATTTGTATGATGACAACTCTATATCATTAGAGTTAAATAAATAATAAGAATAGTACTTGGAATCTACCTTTTAATTCAGTACAATAAAAATAGTATTAGGTACAATAAAGATAGATAACACTTAAGTTTTATAATTTGATACAATTGTTTTTTTCGATGAACACGTACGTCTTTTACATAGTCTTTTTTATTTTTCTTAGAAAGATAAGTTTTTTATCTTTACATGTACATATATTGGTAAAACATTTTTCATGCATGAATATGTATAAATATGTATAAACATGCATAAATATTCATAAACCTGTATAATCATATACGAAATATGTCCGTACATATTCGTACATCCCTCTTTCTTTTGTAAAATTATTTTTTAGTGTAATAGAAATAATAATAGTAAAGTGAAAACATAAAAAATAATTAAAGGGATAATTTTCGCATTGTGTGTGTGTGTTAGAAAAATATACAAATTTGGAAAAAATGTAAAAAAATTGCTTATACACAATTGTATATAGTTTTTAATGTATATATATAATTATATATAAGTAATTTTTTAACATTTCTTTAAACTTGATTTTTTTCTAGAACAGGTGTGTGTAATGTGAAAATTATTCTTTTTATTATTTTTTATGTTTTCATATTACTATTATTATTTCTGTTACACTGAAAAGTAATTTTACAAACGAAAGAGGGATATATGAACATGTATGGACATATTTCATATAAGATTATACATCTTTATAAATATTTACGTATGTTTATACATATTTATACATATTCATACATGAAAAATTTTTTACCGGGAATTAAATTTTATTCAGTAATTATATTTGATCGCTCTTTTTCGTCATAACTGCATTCTTTTTTCCAATATACTGAGAAAAAAAAATTTGTTAATTTTAAAAAATATTTAATTCAACTTCTCTCTCTCTCTCTCTCTCTCTCTCTCTAAATGCGGCGGTCACGGGCTGTCAAGCAAATATTTGTTAATTCAAAGAAATGTCATGTTGAGATACACTACCCCCAAAAAGTTTCCGGACATGGAACTTAAAATTGTATGATATTCACATCACCGTAACTCGATAAAAAGTCATTGCAAACAAAGAAATAAAATAGCATTTTAAAGCTTGAAAATTATACTTTAGTATGCTTTTCAAAAAAATTTTGTCTTTACTGTTATGTATCGTAACATATATCACGTTGTTGTATTTCTTAAAATTACGTACATTTAATAGTGCGCAGTTTGATAAAAAGTTTTTTTTGAATATTCTGTAATAGCAAATCATAAGAAATATTCTGTTAAATTAAATAAAATTTCATTTGCATTAATCAATGTTCGTTCTTTCTACTACTTTATGTTCAACATTGCTCTGGTTTGCTGTTCTCAGAGATCTCTTGGAAGTCAAAAACATATCTTTTAGTCCACATCCATACAGCAGTATATCCTTTCATACAATGTAGATATACTTTCAGCAATTTTTGTAATATACTGTCTTCGTAATAACTATTACGAATATTGCGAAATATTACTGAAGTTTTCTCTTCATTTTGATCCCCTCTATCTGCACATAAGGATTATAGCGTATTTCACTGGTTGCACTGGTGCGCACTCAGTGCACATTAAGGCTGTTGTACACTATTCTAATCTAAATATAAAAATGAGATATTTCAATTGATAAAATGCCCAAAATTTATTTTATCAATAGCACAATAAAATGTATCGAATATTTCACG